GTTTTTCTTCATTACCCATTTAAGCCGTCTCCAGCCATTATACGTTAAAGATTATTATTAATGATATTGACTTACTGAATATGATTTAGAGAATAGCTGCTAGGATAATTTTGGAGTTAGAAGGGTTATCTTTTAGGTATAAGTTCAGGCCTTTTAAGTTGTTGTTTTTTCTAAAGAAAGGAAGGGTAAGAAGTGATGTTATTGAAGCTTACAAGGTTTTACCAAAGGGGGATCAAAAGAAAAAAAAAACTTCTGATTTCTTTGTGTTATATTCTAAAGAAAGTAGGTCAAGAGGATGCACATTAAAGTTTTGGAAAAGACAGGCTAGGCTTCAGTTAAGACAGCTTTATTTTTCCAATAGAATGACTGGCTTATGGAATGAGTTGCCATTGGCAGTAAAGGAGGCCAGTGTTTTAAAGGAATTTGTAAGGGGAATCATTGATTTCCTGAAAAATAAAGAAGTGGTTTTAAGTTTTTACTTTCTCAAGGCTGGATGTGTATGTACAGTCTTGAAGGATCAAATCGCCCCTTGAAGGCTGGATGTGTAAGTACAGTCTTGAAGGATCAAATCACTATTAACTTGCACCACATTTTTAATAGTGATATATTACACACAAGCCCACACATATTTCACACTGATCACTTTGTTATTTACCCCTTGAAGACTGGATGTGTAAGTACAGTCTTGAAGGATCAAATCATCCCTGGAAGGCTGGATGTGTAAGTACAGTCTTGAAGGTCCAAATCACCTCTTGAAGGCTGGATGTGCAAGGACAGTCTTGAAGGATCAAATCACCCCTTGAAGGCTGGATGTGCAAGGACAGTCTTGAAGGATCAAATTGCCCCTTGAAGGCTGGATGTATAAGGACAGTCTTGAAGGATCAAATTGCCCCTTGAAGGCTGGATGTGCAAGTACAGTCTTGAAGGATCAAATCACCCCTTGAAGGCTGGATGTATAAGTACAGTCTTGAAGGATCAAATCACCCCTTGAAGGCTGGATGTGCAAGGACAGTCTTGAAGGATCAAATCACCCCTTGAAGGCTGGATGTATAAGGACAGTCTTGAAGGATCAAATCGCCCCTTGAAGGCTGGATGTATAAGGACAGTCTTGAAGGATCAAATCGCTCCTTGAAGGCTGGATGTATAAGGACAGTCTTGAAGGATCAAATCACCCCTTGAAGGCTGGATGTGTAAGGACAGTCTTGAAGGATCAAATTGCCCCTTGAAGGCTGGATGTGTAAGGACAGTCTTGAAGGATCAAATCACCCCTTGTTATATGTGTTATGTTATTATCACTCTCACTACAAGTCAGTTTTTTTTAATCTCACTTAGAGTATTGTGTGCAGTTTTGGTTTTCTGACTAAAGAGTGATATTTACTTATTGGAAAATGTTCAAAAGAAGGCTACTAGGGTGGCTTTGGAGATTGAAGGGTAACTTTATAAGAATATCTGGACGATTGATAAGATGAATGTTTCTGATTTCTTTATGCTGTATCCTGAAGGTAGTAGGACAATAAGACACAAATTTAAGATGTGAAAAAAAAAAGTCTAGGTAGGATCCAATTAAGACAGCTTTATTTTTCTAACCTGGATGATTAGCTTATGGAATGTGTTATCATTGGCAGTAGTGGAGGCTAACATCTTTCAGGAGTTTAAAGGTTGTGATCATTGAATTCTTGAAACACAAAGGTTTAGGATTGAAATTATTCTTAATTTTCTTTTCCTCAAGGGTGGGTGTGCAAGGACAGCCTTGAAGGATCAAATGGCCACTTTGTGTCCACATGCTGTGGTAATAGAATAATGACATCCACCTTTGACTCTGGCTCTACGTGTTTAGAATTTTTCAATAAAAATGTTCAGTAAAAATTGAAAGTGGTTTAGTTTCCAGTTTATGAGATTTTTTAGCTTTTACATAGGTTTTGGTTTCACTTAATAATGGAATTTTTTATCTTGAGATCATACATTTCTATACTTGTATTAAACAAGAGTATGTGAAAGTGGAGTTTTAATTACACCTCACACCAAGTACGGTGTTAAACACTCCATAGGAATATCAGGTGTTTTATTAATCTTGAAATAAAAAAGAATATAAAAACTATGGGATGCTTTTACTATAATCCCGAAGTTGAGTTAGGATAACGTTGAGTGTTCAAAGAAAATATAACTTTGGGCAAAATAAATGCATTAGATTTTAATATTTTTATTATCAGTTTATTGATCAGACTTCAGGAATACCTTTGAAAATGGATGTAATATTTCAGTGGATTATAGTTACGTTGAAAATTAATAACTCTTTATTCACCTGGTTATGAGAAACGTACAACTAAACAAAGTGACAAGAGTCATCAAGGACTTTCCACTTCTCACCATTGTCACTGAACCAGTTTAGTCAAAATGTAGCTTTGAAAGTAATAGTTCCTGTCATTATGAAATGTTTTTGTGGATTGGCTCAACTGTTAATTCACATATCCATGGATCTGACACTTCCTGAAGTCCTGACAATCCTCAACAGGAGTCATTTTTTACAGTTTTAATGGCAACTGAAGGCACTGTGATGGTTGATGATACAACCACTGTACACCAGGTGATAGGTTCAATTCCACTCTCAGATTCAGGATTCTTAATGTTCTGTTTCTGTTGCTTCAGATGAATCTCCCTTGTCTTTTGATAATTTTGAAAGGCTGTTCACACCACTTGCTGTTCACACCCTTCCCAACGAGGAACAGCTAACCCCTCCTTTATCTTTTGCTGATTTAATTACACAGGTATTCGTTGTTTTTTTCGGTTTCTCCAGTTGTTTTAGCTGAATCTTGGGCTTCCTTGCTGCATTAGCCTCCTTTGGCTTCTATCTTCTGTTTCTCCCATTTCTTGATATTAGTTTGTGCTAATACGTTTTTGCCTTAATTTTGTATCTCACCTCAGCTGCCTTGTCCTTCAAGACCTCTTAAATCTAATTCTGTGTCATATGGTTGTGATTCT